AATTTTTATATTTAAACTCGATAGCTAATACAGACATCACAAAGAAAAATCACCCTTATCTACTTACAATGTGATATCTCATCCATACTTTATAAGAAAAAGACGAAATAATTTTTTTAAAGTGCCAATGTCACAGATACCTTAACTTGTGCACATTATATAAGTTTTTATGTGCATTTTGCTCAAGGTGTTTTACTCTTTTGATTAATTTAAATATAAAAATTTCTTCAATCAACTTTCCCCCAGAAAATTAATAATTTGGATGTTGACTAAAAATAAAAAATCATCTGGGTCAAAACATGAGAGAGAAACTCAGCCATGCCACTAATTAATACCTCCTTCTGCAAGTATTTCCCTTCTGGGAAAGTCCAATGCAGCAATTTCCCCATCAAAACCTAAAACAAAAAACCAAAACTTGCCCAATTAAAGCGACGAACATTTCAATGTGTGATGGGTTTTGACCTAAAAACAACAGGATTTGGTGGAACTAGAAGTGAAAAGATGGGCAGGTAAAGGAATAAACATAAAGTACGAGATCAGGGACAACAGAAATGGTTACAAAGCAGGGGCTCTGAAAGAAGGAATGAAGCACAGTTATGTCAAACAGTGTGACTTTGTCGCCATCTTTGATGCTGACTTCCAACCTGACCCTGATTTTCTCTGGCGCACCATTCCATTTCTTATCCACAACTCTGATGTTGCTCTTGTCCAAACCCGTTGGAAATTCGGTAATTATCATTATTTCTTTATTATTATTATTGTTATTATTCCTATTCTACTTACTTAAACTTGTTTAATTAGTGCGAGCCATACTTTATGTAGAATGTGAGTTGATTGCTTCTTAAACGTATTAATTACTTTGGGTTCCTTAAATATATAAACCTAGATAGAGCTTAAAAATATGATAAGACCGTGGCGTAACCAAGTTGACTATAATAGTGTGCTACACTCTCTGGATCCATGTTCGAATAAGAAGAGAAGTATTAGTACAAATATGTTAGCATAACATCATAAAGGTTTTTCTACTTTGAAGCATACGAAACTCAATCCACGATTAGTTGAGCACTTCAGAATTTCAGGGATTTTAAAAAATTCTGTGGATGTGTGATTGAGTTTGTTTAGATTCTGTCATAAAATATCTATTTACCTTTTGACGAAGAGGATAGCTCTTTACTATCTAATATAATGGAGGAAAATAGAATTGTAAGAACACACAAGGGTAAAGGTGTGATGATGATTTCTTGGTGGTGTTGCAGTAAATTCTGATGAGTGCTTGATGACAAGAATGCAAGAGATGTCATTAGATTACCATTTCACGGTGGAGCAAGAAGTGGGGTCTGCAACTCATGCCTTCTTTGGTTTCAATGGTAAAGCACTTCTTAAAAATTGCCAACGGAAATATAAAAAGGTATTCAGTTTCCCCAATTGACGACATGACACTGAGAATGTGTGATGCAGGCACGGCTGGTGTGTGGAGAATTGCAGCGCTCAATGAGGCCGGAGGATGGAAGGACCGCACAACTGTGGAGGATATGGATTTAGCTGTCCGAGCTAGTCTAAGAGGGTGGAAATTCATATATCTTTCTGACCTTAAGGTAATCAAATTTGCCAAACGATAACAGTCTTGTCAAAATTAATATCGAGAAATCTTACGTTTACAAGACGTTGGATTTAATTATGCCTTAAGAAAGACAATTTCCATGATAATCATCTCCTGCTATTGAGGTTTCGAAAATTACCTTGCAAATGAAAAACTGTACCGTTTTAGTAGAAATCCGGTCACAGAAAATCCTTAATTATGATCCTTTCTTTACTTACTAACCTTCTGAGTAGAGACTAACTTGCAGACAATTTTCCGTTGGTCTTTTCCTGTTCAGTGATATTTCACTTTTGATCCAATATTAATAATTGTGTACATTTCAGGTGAAAAATGAATTGCCAAGTACTTTCAAAGCCTACCGTTATCAACAGCACCGATGGTCTTGTGGCCCTGCTAATCTCTTCCGAAAGATGGCGATGGAGATTGTAAGAAACAAGGTAAATTAAACAGCACCGCCCCCCACCCCCCCGGGGCTCGCGGAAACACATTTCTGTTTTGTTTCTGCCTAAATTTAAAACCAAGTCACAAAGGCAGAAGTACTATATCTTTTTATTTATCCGTACTCACAGCTACTTTATAATATTTTGCAGAAGGTGTCCCCAATGAAGAAGTTTCATGTCATCTACAGCTTTTTCTTTGTGCGCAAAATTGTAGCACATGTTGTCACCTTTGTCTTCTACTGTATCATTTTACCTGCAACGGTTTTTGTTCCTGAAATTCAAGTTCCCATTTGGGGTGCTGTTTACATTCCGTCCACCATTACTCTCCTCAATGCCGTTGGAACTCCAAGGTCTTTGTTGTGTCAAACTATGACAAACTAAAACCTATCTCTTCATTAACAGATAATGCAATAGATGTTTTCGTTCAAAGTTAACTATTGATTACTAATACTTTCAAAGGTCATATTTACAGATCACTCCACCTATTAATTTTCTGGATCCTCTTCGAGAATGTCATGTCTCTGCACCGGACCAAGGCAACACTTATAGGTCTGTTTGAAGCAGGGAGAGTAAACGAATGGGTCGTCACTGAGAAACTTGGGGATGCTCTCAAAACAAAATCAGGTGCAAAAGCTTCGAGGAAACCTCGAATAAGGATTGGAGAAAGGTATATGATTCTTTGCCTTTCGTTTCACTTGTTAATCCATATGTCCATCATTCCTTTCATAGAAGACATCATCGGGTAATTCCTTACGTAAAATGCTACATCTGTTTTGAAAGCGAGGATATGAAGTTTACGTTTTCTGTTCTTATGGTTACCAATAACAGACTGCATATGCTTGAGCTCATTGTTGGATTCTACCTCTTCTTCTGCGGGTGCTACGATCTTTCATTTGGAAAGAACGGCTACTTCATCTACCTGTTCATCCAGTCCATAGCATTTTTCATTGCGGGGGTTGGTTACGTTGGCACCTTTGTCCCCAACCCATAGCCGTACGCATTGCCCGAATTGTTTCAAGACTTCGTTAATCAACGTCCCTTCTGGCATTGTCGTCGGAGAGATCAAAGATACACGGTGGTTTGATGCTGTTTATAGGCGGGTCATTCTTTTATTAAGTTATTTCTTTGTGGACAGTGTAGGAAGATAAGGATGAGAGCGCAAGGAGAGTACCTTATGAGTGTATTGGAAGAGCATTACATATTGTAAACATGCAGCAGCAATAACATATGGATTTTGTCACAAGAATTATGTACTTGGAAGGGCTACTGATTTGTAATAACAAATTATATGGGATTTTGCTTGGGAATAATGAAGGCAGTATCATTTATCAAAATTAAATTCCCATCTTTATACAGCAGCTAGTACTACAATCTAATTGTATTTTTCTTCACCATAAGTAAGAGGTCCTAAGTTTTGGTAAATTGGTAAGAATACAGTGCAGCTGATTAGTAAGAGTATATGCTATTTGATATATGTAATATTTATTCCAAATAAATACATAATTTTCTTCAATATAGAATATTTTTGCTCACCACCCTTAACCTCAAATGATGGTGATGGTCACTACCCTATTTATCACCATTGTATGAGTTTAAGTTTCGAGATTTGTGTAGTGAATAGACACAAGTCTCAAAATTTTAACCCGTCCAATAATAATTAGGGTAGTGAGTATTATCACCACTTAATGATGGTAAGCAAAAATATAGCTTTATTAATTGTAGAGAAAATAGTAAAAATGGTCCATCAACTAAAAATTCATAATCATTGGTCTCTTAACTCTTCAAAACATGCAATTATGGTTTTTTTCATTAAATCAGTCAAAACTTCCGTCAAAATGAGTCTCATGTCACACACATGAGGCTGAATCAAGAGGCAAATATGGGAAACTAAATAAATAATTAAAATTGTAGAAATAGTCCCTCAACTTTAAACCAATTGTAGAAATGATTCTTCAAATATGACTCATTTTGATATAAGTCCTGATACAGTTGACGAAAAAGATCATAATTGCACATTTTGAGGAGTTAAGGGGCCAATAGTCATGAATTTTTGTTGAGGAACCATTGCTCTAATTGAGTTAAAGTTGAGGGACTATTATTACAATTTTCTCTTAATTGTCCAGTCTTGAACGGAACACAACGGAACAATACATGGATGATGGATGAGAATATGAAACCTAACATTCCGGCTCTCAAGTCACATCAGCTTGGTCCCCAATTGCATGTTACAGACTTATTTTCCAAACAACTTAAGCATACCAAACTGATTGAAAATGTGAGGCAAGAATAAAATGTTGAACATGGTTCGCATGAAGAAGAAAATGTTAAACATGGTTCACACGAAGACTTACTCTGTTAATAACTACGTCTCGAATTTAAACTCTCAACATTTCCTTTAATCTAACTTAGAGTAATATAACTTGTAATAAAAAACATCTTGACTTGAAATAGATTAATGTATCTGTTTTAATATTAGTGGGGATTTATAGATCAATACTGTAAAATAAATTAAATAAAGATGACTGAAGCTAATGTATATTGAAAGTGATTCACAAATAAGATAAAAACATGAAGCAGACAAAGAAATACAGTAAAATCTCTATGAATGAATACTGTGGGGACTAAAAAAAATTATTATTAATTTATCAAACATTCATTATTAATTTAACGAACATTCATTTACCAAGGTATTACTGTAGAATCCACAAAGTGAGGGAAAAGATGAGTGAACTTTCGGTGCATCTTTAAATCTGCTTATATACAACTCCATATTTTTTTGGTCAAAAAATTATACATTTCCAGTTGGTTACAATCAGAACAGCAATTTCTCACCCTGCAATATTTGTACTAGGGAACACATCTCAGACCCATTTCCGTCTGCCTAGACTTCTACCTTTCCCCATAACCGAAAAGAAAATACTTCTACTTTTCCTCCTACAAGATGTAACAAATTAGAAATCTAAAACAACCAGGAGAAAATGTTTCACTGGCGATGGACGATGATCATGTTCAACAACTCCTGTATAAATCTAAAGTTTTGTAGCCCGGTTAATCGCCTATGAAACTCCAAAATTAAAAGAAATTTAGGAATTCAGCATATGCTACAATGAAGTTGGAAGTATATGAAGTGAAATAGGAACCCAGCACAAGTACAGCATGAAGCGCCATCATATAAAAACACCGAGGACAGCTCCAGAAAACCGTTGCACTTAAAGAAGTATCTCCAGCTGGCCATGCAATTCGACTACAAACTCAAAGATCCTGTGATGTTAAATTGAAAAAAAAAATTCCATATCCTGAACAGTCTGAACGAAAGAACATTGTTCCGACTTGTAGAATGTGTGAACCAACCAGAACATCAGGAAACTAAAGTATAAAGTCAATGTGTATATGAATTTAAAACAGAAATCATAAACCTACAAAACTGAACCAGCCAGATTAGTAAATGCAGAGGAATTCCAATAGCTGGCCTGGAAGAAACATTTATTCAAATCATTATCCCTAAGAAGCTGGCATTGCTAGTTGACTCCTCGTCATCAGCCAGCAGTTGCCGGACTAGCCTACCTTTTTCCTTCAGCCTAGCTCTAAACCTATTATTACTTGAATCAAGGTCATTGTAGCACTACCAAACTTGAGACATGTTCGTCATCAGTGAGACTCTTCCCTCACTCCCAATGCAAGCTTTTCTACGACAATGTGATTTATTTAATCTAAAAGGAAATTGTGTTTTATATAAACCATATCCAACTTCTACATGCTTAGTTTCTGCAAACTCTGTTCTGAGAAAGACTCCAAGATGTCATAGTGACCATATCCGTGAAAGAGCACATTGATTGGTTTCTCCTCTTCTTTCTGATACTCTTCACCATATTTTGCTATGTTAACCAAACCAGAAGAGCTTCTATCTACCATGAAGACTGATATCGGTGTCCTGAGCAATAAAAGTTGTGTCAGATATGAATATTAGGCAGGAAGCTATATCCAAGAGTACCTGATAGTTAGTTTCCGCCTTAGAAATGAATCAAGAAAGAAAAAAGGGATTGACACCACATAGTATGCAACCAGACCAACCAAACTTAAACTCTAAACCAAGAAAAGAAAATGCATGTTGCAGCCCATGTGCAAGAAATACACCAATGTAGAATCTGGGAAAAGAAGACGGATAAAGACTGACTAAAGAATATGAAAACACCATTTTCTCTTTGGGGCCGTTTGATAATAGTTTTGTTTCTAACTTAACATTTTTTCATCTTTTTACTGAAAAAGTTTCCAAACTAAAATTTCCATAATGGTAAAGCTTGTCCAGCACTATTTATTGAGACCATGCATATCCATATAAGGAGATCCAAACAAAAACCCAAAACATACCAATGATATAAATTAAAGAAAGTCAACCATATACAAATTAAAAACTAAACCAATCGCCAGAGAAGCGCAACACAATCACCAACAATGTAGCCATACTTTTGTAAGAATATCATGGTTAAAAGGTGAAATAAAACACAGTACAAAACTCACTTTAACACATGAGAAGCCATTAGCAACTCAGGTTCACCACCCCAAACATAAGGTTGTTGAAGTCTCTTCACATACGCATCAAAATCACCTTCAATGAACCTAAACATACATAACATAGAATACAACATACTCCGATTATTTCTCTAACACAAAAACAAAATGAATCAGTGCAAGCTAAAAAAGATTGGCAAAATCCACAATAAAAAAAATTTAGAAAAGCTTACCACTCTGTTTCCTTCCGCCTCTTTAAAAGCTCATCGACAACCTACACCAATCATAATCACTTCTAATAAGACCATGAGACATAAACAATTTGGCAAAAGATTCAATGCCTAAAAAATGAATGCAGTTACCTGAGATCTTAATTCATCAGCGAGATCTCTCTGACGATTCTCATCAGGAGCTTCCTCCCCATTTCTCAAGCAAGCCACGTGGGCTATGGCCCTGAATAGGCATCGGCCATCAGCTAGAACCCCTGTTATTTTCTCAAACAGTATCAATTTAAAGGTTCCAAGTATTGTGAGGAAAAATAGAACAAGTTTCCGTCACACAAACAAATGCAGAAAAAGTAGAAACTTGTGTATGTACCCACAAAGATACACAAAATTTCACTAAACAACGCATCAGCAAAAGCACCCAAAAGCTACCAAAAGGAAAAGTTAAGAAATTAGGGCATTCAGTGAACCAATTAAACAATTCACAACCAAAAAGTTCACCACATAATATTTCTCAATACACTAATCTTGGTGGACATCCAAATACCCAAAAAACCTTTTTTTTCAGTTATTTCAAAAACAAAAATTAATACTTGATACAGAAAACTTAAAACTAACTGAAATCATGACAATAATTTGATCAAACCCATCTTAGTTAAGATTAAATACAAAATATGACCTGTGACTCTGTAATCAGCGGCGGAGCTATCAATAATGTTCTCAGGAGAAGACGAGCTTTTCGAATCACAGTCCGTCTTCGAATTGTAAACGTCATTGGTTTCACCGGGAGCCGAGTCCACAGCCCAATTGGTCGGGGCGAGGCAACTGCGGACGCCAAAAAGTAGCCAAGCGGAATCGGGGCGGTGAAGCCAACGAGCGGGACGTGCATCCCACGCGGCATTCCATGAACCCTCTCGCTCGTAGTGGATGGCCGGCCTGCAGAGATTTCGAGATCTGCTATTGCCGGCAGAGGGAAGCAAGCCGTGCCATATAGATGCCGCACCGGCGCCGCAATCCGAGCCGAGCGGGCTCGAATGGTATCGTCGGTTCTCAAACCCGCAAGAGAAGTTAGCGATTTGTTGATGAATCGGGCGACTGTGGGTTTGGAGGAGGAGTCGGGTTTTGTGAGCTGCCGCCGAGCCGTGAGTGAAGGCTGAGAGGGAAGTGACGATCCAAGTCTTGCGGCGCGCGCAGAGAAATCCGAGCATCACCGGAGACTTGTGAAGAACAGGAGAAGGGGTGTTGATATTGGATAAGCCGCCAAGGTGATGGAGCTTAAGCTATACACCCATTCAAGCTGGAAATTTGGAGAAGTAGCGTATACCTGTCAGAAGAAATGATTTTGGTTGGTGGCTGCCGCCATGGCTAAAGGTGATGACGACGAGATTGTCTCCTGAGGTTTTTGCGAGTGTGAATGCGAAGCATTTTAGGGAAGGGAGGCCGCTGGGCTTTTCACGAGGAAAATGTGATTTTTTTAATATTTATTTTATTATTTTATTTATTTTTGGTTTTTGTTTCTGAAGTTTGTGATAATTATTTTTGTACGTAAATATGGCATATGCCTTTGAGAGATTCCAGAATTTTCTTTTTTATGGTTTGTTCTTCATTTTTCTTGATTGTTTATAAGATATGACGTGTGTGAGCAAATATTACATAAAGAAAATAGCACTTTGATTTTTGATGGTAAATTCTAATAGAATTAAATCTTTTAAATTTCAATATCGAAAAAACTTGACTTTATCGAAGGCGGCTTCTAGTACTTGGAAAGGCTACATAGATAGTGGTCAGTTGTTGAGAAGGGGTATAGTTTGATGGACAAGGACTGTCTGCCCTTCACTTCCGGTGCCCTCTTCGTGCTCTGCTGTTTTGTATGGTCACGGTTAAACCACGTCAACATTTTATATTATTTTTTTTATAGATATAATAAGATAAAAATAAATAGTAATATAAAATATTGACGTGGCTTAATCGTGATCACACAAACAGGAGAGCACGAGAAGGGCATCGAAAGTGGAGGGCAGACAATCCTTGTCCTAGTTTGATGTATCAGATCCAGTGAGAACATTAAATCTTGGACCAATTATTTGTCAAATTGTGAGCCTCTTCTAAAAACTTTTCTTCAACAACTTTCATTAACTACGCTTGCATCGTCCGTTGTTGATTTTTGCTACAGTGGGAATTGGAATATAGAACATTTGGTCCATTTCCTTTCTAAAGTAACTGTGGATAAAATTGTCAATATTCTTGTGAATAATATTGGTGGCTTGTCTATCAAGTGTATGTAGGGACCAACTAGTGATGGTAACTTTACTAAGAAGTCTGCCTATGTGTTGGATTTAGGTACTAATATAAACACTAAGTGGCAATGGAGTTTTATCCAGGAGTTGCATCTTCCTCCTAAAGTGCTCTCTTTTATTTGACTTTTATTGCTAGACAAATTATTGACCAATGAACAACGAGTTAGAAGGGGGTTGGCTACGAATCCTTCGAGCGACAGATGTGATGGTGCATTTGAATCACTTAGTCATGTCTAGAGAAGTTTACAAATTAGAGAACGAATTACTAAAATGGGAAGAAGAAGCATAGAGGGAAGAGAAAATAAAAGATAGGAGAAACTGAAGTAGCAGTGAAAAGAATGAGAAAGTAAAGACTTGTCTCATGGAAAAAAAAAAAGAGAAAACTCTCAACAAGAATAAATAGAGTTTCCTTAAGATAGTGAACTATGCAGAGTGAACTATGCATGGGAAACTAGGAGAGGCATCATCACATTGTCCTTAGTTAGCAGGCGGGAAGGGAAAAGTCTCATCAAGCAGACGTGTTTTGGGTTGTCCGTCAGAGATTGATTTTTTGGCCCAATTCGATTGTCTCGCAATTCAAAAAATAAAAGGGCTAATGTGAGGGCCATTAAAATTCACTTATAAGCCTCATAATACCTCGAAGCCCTAGCTGTCCTTTTCCTTTGTAAACCAAATAGGACACTTAAGAAACAACCAAAACCTAAAGCTAGGCTGATCAAATCCAAAATGAGATCACGTTTTAACTAGAGCAGCGCACCTAATTATTAGATAAAGAACATTTCCCTTCCAAGCTCATACAGGAAAACGAGAGAGAAACAAGGAAGAGCTTTGCTAACGATGGAGTCGTTTGTGGAACTTGGTGTAGGAAGAAGAAACTTTGTGCAATTTGCTCAACCTAGGCTTCCCGAGGCTACTTGACACACCCCGACCTAAATCAGGGCATACTGGCCGTCACATGAACGTGACGTAACCATGTGCACAGTGCGGAAGCAATAAGAATATAAAGAAATACGAGTGAATAAAAACCAAATTACTAGCAGTACAGACTAAGATAAGGTGCTAGTGCGAGATTAAGTGTGAAATACACAACCATAGCATAAATAGTCTAAGTGCAGTCAAGCAGGACAAGCACTAATTAAACGACACCCAAAGGTGATCCTACATTTATAATGTTCTGTTAGAACCACCGTCGAAATCCCTGAGAGCCACCCAAGCCTGCTACCTAAAACCTAGAGGGGCGCAAAACAGAAAGTGTGAGTGGGCAAAAACAAAGCTTTTCAAAATCATTTCATTTCTAAAAAAAGTTCTAACTCTTCGCCGTATAATTTCCCAGAAAGTATAATATATGCTATTTCAAAAATCATGCTCAAGATGAAAATCCATAGAAATATACCATGTCAAAGTATCACAATAAAATGCTATAAGTAATCCAATTCACATATATCAATGCTAGATATCATATCAATTGAAATCCGCCTAACGTGCCCTGCACGACTGAGTCTATAACTCATAATCAATCTCAATCATATTAAATTCTGCACACGAGTCAGAACCACCTAAAGTGGTCTGTATGACAAGACTAGGTGTAAAATAAATATGCTCTAGTGCTACGATCATGTGAAGGCTATGCGAACGATCGTGGGTCATCTACTAGTCGGAACCACCTATAATGGTCTGTACGACAAGCCTGTGTACCTAATTTGGATCTAAGGTGAGCATATGGTACGGGAGGTGAACATCACATGAAGAACTGTGCCCTAACTCTGGGCGGGAGCACTAACACTGGGGTACAGGTTTATGAGCTCTCAATACATCTCACATAACTAAGGCAATCTTATACCTTTAATTTATGAACTTACCTGGCACTTACCAGTGTGTTCGCAACACTAATCATAATATGCAACTACTAATGCATAAATAAAATAGGCAGATACTTTGAATGGCATTTTAAAATGCATAATCATTCAAATTCATTTTTTGGGAAAATCTCAAGTATATAGGTATATACGGAAAACCAAAAGTCCACTCACTAGTATGTTGAAGGGTCGTAGCCCCCGAGCCTCGATTGATGGCGCTCGTCCTCAGGATAGGTCTCACCTATATGCAAAATAACTAAATAAATGTTATTTAAAGCACATACAGAAAACTAGGAAATAACTTCTCATACAATGCTCAAATGGGGTATTTGAATATACCACCATGACCTACTCAACCTCAGAAACATCCCCATATTTTTAGAAAAATTTTTCGAGCACCTACGCGCCGACCAAGGCATGGCCAGACGCGCGGTCCACGTGTAGGCACGTGCCTTGCACACCAAACGGATTCCCTAACGGCGTTAGGGAATAATCCGTTAAATATAAGTATATACCGTTAATTATACCCAACGCCGTTAATCGCTGTTAGGAATATTTCATCACAGTTGACGAAATATTCATCTTCTTCTCCGACGAGTCACCGGATTCCGTTGCCGTTGCCAGAAACTGGGAAAAGTTTCTAAACTTCATATCTTCTTCATTTCTTGACCAAAATTCACGAAATTTGTACCAAATTGAAGCTTACAATGAGAAGAACAAAACCTTACCAAATTTAAGCCCTAAAATCCACGGGATCTTGCTGGAAAAAGGCACGATAATCCGGCCACCTCTGCAACTTGTTGAATCCGAGCCTCCCGACGTCTAAATCACTCCAAAGTTACTCCCCGAGCCTTGTGAAGATGTTTTAAAGCTTCTTATGACTTTAAAACTGACTGAAAGGTCCACATTTACGACTGCATGAACAATACTCCAAATCGGGGTTCTTGAGTTCTCGGGTTTTCGAGGGTTTCACGTCCAACCAAGGGTATAGATGAGCTCCTAAGCTCACAAGGAACACAAAGATCACATCCTCGATCCGTGCCTGCAAAGGTGGGTTTGAAGTTTGTCCGTACAATTGTACGGAAATGGGAAGAAGTCCGAGAGAATGAGGAGAGAGAGAGAGAGTCAACGTGAGTGTGTGGGTGTATGTGTGGTCCGAATTGGTGCCCAACCAAAAACAAGAAAATAACTTAAGTTCCAAACACTTAGGAATAAAAGAAATGGGTCCAAATCCTAAGCTTAGACCCCATAACCCCACAAAACGTTCAAGGGTATTTTAGTCATTTCATGCCATAAAGAAAATTATTCGAGAAGGGCTGTGACATTACTAGCCTTTTGCAGCGTTATACCAAAAGAGAGCCTTTTGCAACCATGGAAAGAGGAGAAGAAGACTTAGCAAAACAAGAAAAAAAGAAGAAACCAAAGGATTCCTTAGTTGGAACTTGGAGAAATCCTTGCACCTAAATTAAAGAGTTTAGTATGTTAAAGAAGAAAAAAGATGAGTGGATGAGCTAGGCCAAAAACACCAAGCAGAACAAGCTTCCTCTAAGTCAGGAAACCCTGCTTCTTAAAGTGATAAACTTTCCTTTCATTTGAGCTTTCCCATAAGTTTTCCTAGCCCCTACAAAACTACCAAAACACTAGAAACCCTAGATTACCCATCCTTAACCATGCAAGCAAGCACAAGTTCTCGCTCATGCTGAACTAGTGAACTTTTAGCTTTGACCCCACAATTCACTCAGGCAAGGTAGTATTTATTGTAATTATTCAATCATTGCTAAATTGGAGTCATTCACTCTTTCAAAGTATTTCAGGATTGGGTATCGGAAATGAACTAGGAGAGATGGGTGTCTCCATTGAGGCATAAATCCCACTCAATCAAAAAGGTCCCCAATATGAATTCAAACCATCTCATTTCCCCTTAACATGGATTAGTTTAGAATATCGCTTTGTAATATAAAATGATAATGCTTGTGTTCCCTCTGCGTGGGAACCTACTTTGTCCCACCATGTATGATTAATGTATCTTCTTCGAACAAACATCATAATATGAATGTTCATTCTCTTTATCATTATCTAAAGATCCTACATGCAAAAAAACTATCTTTTTTTTAATACATTAAATTAAAGTACATTCCCTAAATCAACCACCAAATTCAATGATTTTTTTCGTTAATATGGTCTTTAGATGCTACTTATTACTAAAATCGTCGATTGGTTTGACATGTATAGAAATCGTTTACATCTCCAAATTGAATGATTTTTTTTGCAGATATAGCCTTTAGATGATTAAGGGCTAGTTTGGTATTGCTGTGCTTTTTGAAAAAAAA